ATTGCTAATGATAGTACCGATCGAAGCGAATACTCTAAACCGATAAAATTGCTGCGCTTCAAGTTCGTTTATAGTAACACTTGGTTGATTACATACAGTCACTTTCATCCATTCATCTTTCCCTTCCTAAAAATTGATAATTCAATATCTTGTTAAGTAATATGTCAGAATATTATTTTTCAATTTATTTTTAAATTGATAAGTTTATTTTTTAACTTACAAATGGTTTCAAAAAATCTTCACAAAATAGTGTTGTCGAAATTTGGCGACTGAATTGCAAGCATTGCTTTTATTGAACTTTTTTTTTCAGAATTCAAACAATTAATTCTAATGAATAATATCTCTAAATTAAGTATAATTCATAAAATTTATTAAAAGTAATGTCTTAACTTGCGTTTTTCTCTATCCGATATTTTGTAAAATATGAATAATAGTAGATGTGATCGCAATTTTTTTTTACTTCAAAATATTAATCACTGCCAAATTAGTAAATTATGACTTTTCACTTATTATATTACTTAATTTTTTTAGAGATAATAAATGGACTTCCGACCTTAATTTCTGGAAAAAAGTAAGTAAACTTTTTTTCGCATGGCTTAAAAAAAGACATCTTCGTTAATGGATTTGATACGACTAATTAATGATGCATTGAGATAGAATCAAATCAATCTGATTTACTGTAATGTTTTTTCATTTATGAATTTTAAAAGTTTTGCTTAGAATATTGGACAAAACAATTTAATTAGTTTGATTTGCTGACCTTTTTCATCTCGATAATATATTTCACTGTTTTATTATCTATAAATGTTGGTATAGCAGTCCACTGCAGGCTTATGGAATTGATACCTTGCTTCTGGAGTACTGGTCGTCCAGGAACGAACGGAATACTGACCTGAAGTGTGATCGTGATATAAGATGATAAACTTCAAGTGATGATTAAGTAAGCTGGCAGTTTCAATTTTAATTTTAATTTTTGATATTCAACAACAGTAATACTAATTATGTTTGAAATTTCTCGAATATTACTCAAGGACTTGTGTTTGGCTTTATATAATCCTGCAACTGTCTAAAATAAACCTCGAGAGGTATTTCGCACTGCGCTTCGCCTAATTCGTTTTTAAGTACAAGCACATATTTGCCTGCAACATCGCTATCAATTTTCAACACGGTCAATCTCGTTTCTTGGTCAGCTGTTGATATCTGAAAAATTCATTGACTAAACGTAACTGAGAAGTTGTAGTCAGCAAATTTTTATAAATTTTCCAGCAGTAATAGACAATAATTTTTTTGCTTATAAAGTGAAATGAGAGCACTGTCATCTTCTTTAAGCTATTCTTTGGGTTATATGAGCAGTCAAATAATAATCGTGAAAATTCAAAATCACTTTAAAACGATCAGAATCTGCAGGAATCGGTTTACCACTAGTGTCCAACCATATCACTTCCGGGCTTGGCGTTCCTAAAAGAATATTTGTTGTAGAGAGTCATAATATAAGAAATTGGACAATTTTAGCAAAAACATCATAATAAAAACGTCTTCTAGAAATTCTTGATGAGTAATAAAAATGTGCTGATATCAGATCTTGATCAAATTAAGTCTTCACTGATATTTACAAAAATGTATCTCCATGCAATATTTACTTCAATGAATTTGATGCTGAATTTTGGTTTGAAACAGTTTTAGCTCATGACTTACTGAAATACATATCTTTTTTGCTCTTTTCTAGTTTATAAATTATTGACTGAGATCTTTGAATCAAACAAGAAAGGCTTTCTGAACTGTTTGCAAGTAATTACAAAAAAAATTTTCAGCTAGTACTTTTGAAAGGATATTTCTTTAGTACGAGATAAAAAGTAAGTGAGAGTACTTCAATGTACAATTAAGCTCAGATATAAATTTGACTTTTCCAAGAATATATTCGCTTTTTATAACACTTCCAAATTGATTCTGTACAGATTAACAATTATTCTACTACATATATTTTTTCTATTTTTGAATGATAGGCACAAATATTTTTTAACTTACCATTTTAGTAGAGAGATGATTTAGACTTTAAACTCTAAAAAATGATGCAAAACAATTCGTATTACTTCCAATAATATTCTGTGCTCAAATTAGACACGCATAAATTATTTACAAGGCAACATTTTTATCATATTAATAAAAAGTGAAGTTTTTTATACGTTTCTATTTCTATATAATCTAATTATAGGTCTTCTTCAATTTCTTTTAAAACACAATTATTACACAGCAAGTTACTTGCCAAATATCATTAATAACAGGTGAGAGCACAATAATTAGTATTATTATTATTGTTATTATTACTTGTTATTATGTAAATTTAAGCCTTATAATATTTTTATTGTCAGAAGTAATTTTCAAGTCTCGTTATACTTCTAAATTATTCAAATAAAAAAAGATGACTTAGAATTATCTCTCCTTGTGTAGCACAAAAGTGATTTAGTTTGGCAGTAATCCGCCAAAAGAACTTGAAAGACCTGAACTTGAGGCTAAACTTATTGTGTTGACCTTTCAAAACTTGTCCTTCGAAGTTTCAAATAATCCACGAAATTAATTCTTTCTTTAATAAAATGCTAGAATTTATGTTTTTTGTTAGCATTATTATGGATCCTTTGATATAAACCCAACTGTCAGATATCACAAAATAGTTGAGCCAGAATTCCTGTTCAAACAATTCTTTTCACTACTTTTCAGCTCCATTTCTATGGGCAATTTAAAATGCAAAAGTATTCCAGATAACAGCACATAAGTTTTACTGGTCAATTATTCGCCTTTAGCTGTTTTCTAAAAAGATTTGCGTTTCTTATAGTAAGTCTTTTATGTTACTAGAATCGATAGTTAAAATCATTTCATCTGACCCCATTACTGACCTCTGATAGTTTTAATTAACCTGTATTATTCTGTATGTCAGTATTTTTTAAGTCATCTTTTGGCAGTGCTGATTCCAAAGCTTTGATTCATTTATGTGCTCGTATAATACTGTAATTTGAAATTTCTGCTTCTTGCAATTTTTGTATTAATATTGATACTACAATTTTAATATCAACCCAGATCTCGTAATTCTGATGCACGATATTTTGATAATCAAATTTTGACTGCTGGTAAGCGAAAAATTCGATAATGAATTATGCATTTTTTCGTAAGATGTTTTAAAGCGCAAACAAAACTGCAATTTTTATCGATGTTCTATTTAATTTAAAAATTATGTATAATATTGAGTTTCGAATTAATCCAATTTCAACTAACTTTTCACTGATCGAAATTATTATCCAAAAGTTCCATCGTTTCTCAAGGAAAGTAATAGCCATAATAATTAGATGATAAAAATGGTGCTTGAAATTTTTCAATCAAAACCATATTAATTGAAAATATAGATTATCTACAAAAGTATATTTTCTTGATACTTAATCACTTACAATTTCTAATTTGCTTAGCAAAATATGCATTTTCTTAAAATTTTTTAGATGCATTCTTCCTAACAAATGGTGTTTAAAGCCAAATCCTCGAATGCTTCTCTTAATTATCAATTTTTGCGATAGAAGAAATTATTTTTAGCTTCATAAAAAGACGAAGATTACAACAAATACTTTTTCTTCATCGTAAAAATATGAGTTTCCTTCATGATGAAAACTAAGAATATCAAGTAATAATGATCATGATATTCATGCACAGAGAAATCTAAGACTACATTTTTGATTCCTACCAGAGCTAGCTTAAGGTGCTTTTTTGTTAATCACAGGAGCTTAGTTGTTCGTTTTTTACCTCCTATAACAAATAGTCAAGAGTTGGTTTTGTCTAACTTTGACCTCAATAACTTCATTTCCCGACATACTCATGTTTTCACATCGCACTAACAAGGTCAGATTTTAGTTTGATGTTTTGCTTATTTCAGGGGTATTAAATTCTAATCTAATTTATGAAACTTCATTAGCACTTTATATCTTTATTTAACTAAATTTGATTGAGGAAAAATCTTAATTTCGTTTGAAAAGAAATCAAAACAAACTTTTGATGTGTATTCATTTCCAAGGCAAGTTAATGGACAAAAGACATCTTTATTAATATTATTTCAAGCTAAAATTAATTAACAACATAGATTCGTCATGCTGCGAAATGTAAATTTTTGGTCCAAAACCAAAAATGTTACAAAGGATTATTTAGGTACAAATTTCTACACATTTTTGGATTCTCTCAAAGCTCAAAAATCAAAATAAAAAGTTTGATTGTAGCCAAAACTTAGAATACCAAATTAAGCAGAAATTTTAAATCAGCAGCAAAATAAGGGAAAAAAGGTTATATTAATACAAAATAATTACTTGTGCTATCTGAAAAATCTGATTAATTTTTATCTATTTAATGATTTTGTTTAATTATTGTGTAAAAATTCAATTTTTCACGAATTATTTTTTAATACTTTTAATTATTAAATAAAAAATAAACTAGCTTGTGTCTATTTTTATTGTAAGAAAATGATGAGAATGTGATGAGTGATTGCTAAGAGCTAAAAGTTTGCTAGACAAAGTCAGACGCTTTCAATCATTTGAAAGTAAACGATGGAGACGAGGCATGAAATAGGTGGAAATAGCATTCCTTAAACAAGCATAAATTATTCTTATTACTCTTACGGAAAAGATAGCAATACCAGTCTTTTTGTCGTTTATAGATAGTATTGTCAAGAAGACAACGTAGCAACGTTTATGACAACTTCCTGACTGTTATTAAATAATCATAAATAAAAGAAATCTATATAAATATGTAAGAAAGAAAGAGAGAAGTCATTTCTTCATTACATTAAGGTTAAAGTTAAGTTAGACTTTGTCTAGTATGAGCTGACTAGATTTTTAAAACTTATTACAAGTTTAAATATAACAAAATATAAATAAATAATGCTGAGTATAATTATCAAAATTATTAACAAAGCATTAGAATAATTATGCAAAGCTTTTTTTTGCATTCTGGATATGAAGTTATTCAGGATTTTCAAGAGGTCATTCGAGTCAGAATCTATTTTATTAGTTCAATATTTGTTTAGCTGTAAAAACATTCGTTTGATGAGTTTTTTTTTCATTTCGACAATTATTTTCTCGTTACTTTTGCTTTTGCCTTTCATTACCAATGGCCAAGCAGCCATTTTTTTTCACTTGACGAAGTTGATAGTAAACTATTCACTTTATGTTTCATAAATCATTGTATATTTTAGACTACGAGAAAATCGTTCATCGTTAAGTTATCAAATTTATATCTAATTTTGTACACGCATAACTTTCATACTAATACACGGAAAAGAGTAACGTGAAGCACTCATTACTCATTACTCATTACTGGTTTGTACTGCTCATTGTTTGTTGATGTGAATAGCAGTAAATACAAGTGGTTTAATGCGTGGAATTAGTACGAAATATTATGGATGAATTTCAGTCGGAGCACTTTAACCGACCATTCATTGTAAGTCTCTTAAAAGTTCATATTTTGCATCCATTCAAATGGTAGTCATAATTTTAAGCTTTTTATGTTCAAATTGAGGAGTGGAACTTAAAAAGTTGAATCCATTTTAGCACAAATATTTTCAATTCCAAATGACAAATTTATGCCAGAAGAAAAATTTTCATTCTCAATTACTTCAATCATGCGCACTTCTGAATCCAGCATTTTCCTCATGAAATTATTTTCATAAAGTTCTAATTTACATCGGTTTAAAAAAGTATATGACAGTGTGCAAAAAGCTATAAAAATTAAATAACACATGTTAATAATTTTTCAATATTGCTTTTGATGTGTTTATTTTTATTAATTTAAATTTTTGCTGACGAATTATCCAAGAGAAATGGATCTGTAAAAAAATGGATTTTTCTAAAATATAAATTTAATAGACTGATAAATAAATAACAGATGCAATTATTAAAGAATAAAATATCTAATTTTTGTTTCAATTTGCTCTAAAAAAGTTTCGCTACAATTTGTTTAATTAAGAATGCATAACTTGAATATTCGTTCATTTTTATATAGACGTGAACGATTTAATACATGTTAGTTAAGAATATTTATTTATTACTATTTTCACTTACTTCTGAATACGATGATAAACAAACAAATCAGTAATTTCAACGAACTAAATTCAGTCTTCTCAGTTCCAAAGAGTTAATGAAAACTGCACGGTTTGCAGCAGTTGAAAACGCGCATTACAATATTTAAAAAAGCAATAATGCACTCACGAGAAAAGTGAAGTCTCATGTCTTTGCTCAAACATACTCAATAATCCTTTAAATAATCTATTTGAAGTAACTTTTAGTTCTGATGTCATCAAAATTAGTTACGATGAGGAGCTACTAGATCATGTCTCACATTGCAGAAAGAGTTTGCTTGAAATTTAGCAGTGTTGGAGGGAAAAACAATTAATTATTCGTTGGACACAAATTTCTATGCATCAACAATGAATTTTACGGAAATGTCTAAAAGAAACAATAATACATTCCTTTCCATTTCAGCTTTATTGTTCTACCAGTTTGTGCAAAAATTTGAATTTTCGAAAATCATTAAAATTTGTTGTTAACTACTCAGTGATTAAAAATAGCCTTATTTGAATTTCAAATAATGTATCATAATTTGCTCATAAATTAGATACGATGAAACAGCATATATTAAAAAATCTTATAACCCATTTAGCCTTTTCTTAAACACTTGAAAACTCATTTTTAAGCTGTCTCAGCTGGTCACAATAGATTTTAAAAGTTGCTTCATTCCTGCAAATGCAAGATCTTCAAAGCTTTAACTCGAGGTCGATAATCACTAAAAATAATAATATTTACGTCATATAATAAAATAATTCAAGTGTCTGATTGTGTAAGTAGAAATTACTTTTACTTCTGCAAACAATGTTCTTCAATTTATTTTCGAAAATGAATATTTTTGAAGTTGTATGTTTTTGTAGTTCTTTTTAAACTGCACTTGAACAACTGCAACAGTTCCATTTTCTCCAACTTAATTATCAGCATTTTTATCAGTTATATCTGACTCATTAGCAAACTTTTATAGCAGTCATTAGTATCATCAACTAGAAAATAATAAACATAAGAAATAAATAAATAATAAAGAGACAAAAATAGTTGATAACTATTCCCTTAGAATATCGATAGATCATTTTCAAAAAGTTGTCAAAAAGTTAAATACTAGAGTATCTGATAGATCAGTTCTCTTAGAATATCTGGATAGATCGATTCCCTTAGAATATTCGACAAATCAGTTTCAAAAAGATGCCAAAAAGTTAAATTCTTTTTTCAAAAATAACTATTTTCTGAAAATGATCTGTCAGATTAATATATTTCGGCAAATTGAAAGATGATTTGAAAAGATCAATTATTTTTTTGCATTTTAAGATATTGTCACCTTATGAATCATTCATAAATAGCATAAATCCACTACTACAATTTGAATGAGTATTCAGAAGAATACAATTTTTCTAAGTTGATATTTCTAACTCAATTCTTCATTATTTTAATTACCATATGATTTTTCATTGTTTGCAATACAATACTAATTGACATAGTACTTCCTTAGAATATCTGCTAAATGATTTTCAAAAGGCTCTAGATTTCTTGAGCTATTAATTGTGTTTGATAGTTTAGTGAATCAAATTAAAACTTCAGCGACATTATTTATCAGTTAAAATATTTATAAGAATAATGAAGTCCTTTCATTAAATTTCTTTAATGCACAATTTTTACCTTTTATTTACTTCTGTCTTCTGATGATTATTTTGCCTGATGTATTATACAACCAATTAAACTTTAACAAACGCCGTGAGAAATTAAAAATGTAAGGAATAATACCTAGATTTAGTTTCAATTCTTTTGGAAAGAATTCTAAGCGTTTGAAAATGAGATTATTTTCAAGTAAGTACAAAATATTGACTTACTGACTAACTAATCATTTTGATTAGTATATGTTAAGTGATATATACATATGACAAATTATGTTCAGTTGTCACAGAATTTGTATCACTTTTCAAAGAACACGTAATTATCTATAGCTATAATCTATATCAATGAAATGCTTAGACTTTTTGCTTTATTCTGGAAACAATTTAACATCTTTCTCTCATACACATTTCATTTCTTATGCTGCTCAAATAATGTCAGAATAAAATCCACTTCATTTCTCATATATATTTTTAAAAAAACTACAAATTTCTTAAAACACGCTGCAAAAAAAGTGTACCAATATTAAATGTGTACCAAAAAAATTCAAGTAAAAATTTTGCATGAATATTAGAAATGGCTACAGCAATATCAAATGCAGTTCTGCAAAACCGTCAAACTATGCAATTTCCGATTCCTGGTACACGTAAACTTTTGAAATTCAAACGTTTCAGGGTCACAAGCAACATGATCAGCGGGTGAGCCAATCCATCTATCTTGTGCTAGCTATGCTTCATTGCGGTTGTTTATCTTTGCTTCCGTTTTGTGAAATTATACAAAATTCCAAACCCAGCATTTTAATTACAATCAGGACAGAAAATAAGCAATCTCGACTGTTATGAAAAAAATTTCTCGTAAGAAATGACGGTACCAAAGTTTCAAAAATGGAAAAACTATTTTAAAAAAGGGAAATTAAGACAAAAAGCTACGTTTCCCTTTTTTTTTTTCAAATGATGTGATACAAAATACAAAATGCAGTTGTGACTAAATGGCAACAAAAAAAATTGAAAAATATAACTTTTGTAATCAATTAAACTTTTTTAAATAATTAACAATAAAATTCATTAGGTTCAAGTTCTTGTCATCACTTATGCAAATGTCATCACTTGTTGTATCCATTTTTCAAGTACTTTTTAATAAAAATAAACACGAACACCCGAAATCAACGCTGCTCTTGCATAAACTTTTCAAGAGGAAAAAAGCAATTGGCAATGAATTCTTTTTTTAAAATCTGTCCTTTATTTTTCTTAGATAAATTAAACAAATGTTCTGTTTGTTGTAGCATAGCTCAGCAGCAGAAGAAAAGGTTTATACCGTTACGCAAAACCAATGCGATGGTAAGCGCCGAAAGGCGCAATGCTTGCCGTCTTAATGAAATTTGGGAAACCAGAACCGAATATTTTCAGGTTTCGATTTTGAGTCAAGTTAGGATTTAGCATTTAAATAGCATTTATTAGTATAAGAAATCTTAATTAAAGAGTTGTATATGGTTTGGGTGGTTAAATGACTGAGATTTGAAAACTTCACAACGAAATATTTTTGGTACACATATTCATATCTAGCAACTGACGCTAATAAAATACTCATGATATTAGTTCTTATTTCTTCAAATTTATTAATTTATTTATGAATAACATGCAAAATTAAGTTAGTACCAACTGATGGACGTAATGCTGATGGTGAACCAATGTTTCTCAAGCTTAATATTGGTGGTATGTCATTTCTACTCTTAGTTGAAGCAATTTTACGAGCAGAACCAACTGGGTTTCTCGCTAAATTTGTTCAGCTGAATCATAAAGCTAGGTTGATGGTAAATACTTTATGTACTCCCTTTCAACAAGTAATTTTTTGTGAAGTTAAAATCATGCCAAACATATAAAATGTTTATCTGTATAGTGCTTATCCTATATCTTCAAGTTACTTTACCAAACATTAAATATTGAAAATATTAGGAATGATTTGTTACTGTGTCGATTAGTCATTCTAAAATCCTCAAAAAATTATTAAAAAATTAGATGCAAATTTAGAAAACAATCTGAAAAATAAAACTACCATAACTATTGAAAATGGAGAAAAATAACAATGTAGTAAAACTTCAGATAGCAGATGCCTACATAGCATCTGAAGATGCATATTACTTTCAACGATCACCAAGCGCATTCGATCCTATATTTCAATATTACGCAACTGGCGTCATTCATAAGCCATCAGAAGTGTGTCCCGCAGCATTTTTATCCGAATTAGAATTTTGGCAAATTTCTCATCAACATATTGGTTCATGCTGTGCAGACATTATACCTATGGAACGAATTGAAGAAGAAGAAGAGAACGTACGTCTTTGATACTTCGTCAATGAATTCAATGAATTGATGAATATTTTCAGGTGGATGATAAAACTTTTGATACATTAATGTTTGGTCACGTGAGAAGAAGAATGTGGACATTTCTGGAGAAACCAAGTTCTTCGTTCCAAGCCAAAGCTTTTGAACTTTCTTCAACTTTATTTGTTGCTATTTCTGTTATGGGTTTAAGCTTTGGAACTATCCCAGACTTTCAGGTTTTCTTACTATCTTGACTACTTGCTTTCAACTTTTTAAATCGTTGCTTGAAATTCTGCCTTAGTTAAGCAAAATAAAAATTGAGAAGTAAATGCAAAGACTGAAGGCTGCTTCATCTCTCATGTCACTACTTTACGTGCAAAGATTTTTCAAAGATTTTACAACAGTTTAATCTGTATGTGAAACATAGAAACTTACAATAGACCTTCCATTAGTGGCTTAAAATTATCGCAAAATACTTAAGTATGAAGTGAAAATATTTTCAGAATATTGTCTTAGTATATAAAAAATATGCTGCATAATGCAACATCAATCTGAATTACTTTTACTCCTAAAAAAACCGAAATTCAATTTTCCAAAAGTTTTAAGGTAATACAATATTTGCCAGCTCAGAACGAAACAGTACTTTTACCGAATGGTACTCTAACAGTAATAGAAAGAATTGAAGAAATAAAAATTGAGCATCCAGGATTTGTATTTACGGAACGCATTTGTATAGCATTTTTCACCGTCGAATACTGCTTACGATTGTTTGCTGCGCCAAGAAAGTTTCGTTTTGCGTTAAAACCATTAAACTTGGTGGATTTGATGGCTATAATCCCTTTCTACTTGGAATTATTGTTAACATTCTGTGGTGTTGATGACAAAAAGCTACGAGATTTACGTTGGGCTTTTCTGGTTGTTCGCATATTACGGGTACTACGGGTGATAAGAATAATCAAACTTGGCAGATTTAGTTCTGGACTTCAAACTTTTGCCATGACCTTGCAAAGAAGTCAAAAACAACTGCAAATGATGACGATTGTATTGCTAACTGGTGTTGTTTTCTTCTCTACAATGATATATTTTTTGGAAAAAGATGAAGTTGAAACACCATTTACTAGCATTCCTGCTGCTTATTGGTGGTGTAAGTGATTTTTCTGATAATTATCGATAAATTTAAGCTAAAAATGTATTAAAGCTAAAAGTTTAATCAGCAAGCAATAAATATACATTACTCTGCTTCCGTTCATGATCGAATTTAAATTACACAAACTTTTCGTACAAATATACCTAGAAGAAAATATGTGTACGTACCTAGAAATAGTTAACGAATAGAGTGCATCCTTAAAGTTATTTTTATATGAATCAGTGCAATTAAATAAATTCATAATTTTGATCACTACAAGATGACAAATCCATAGTAACCTCTGAGCTATTTTTATATAAAAATAATTTGTACAAGAAATATTAAAAAATTTGCAGGTATAGTAACGATGACAACAGTGGGTTACGGAGACGCTGTTCCAGCAACTACAAGTGACTATTTCTCTCAAAATTAATAACTACTGATTAGTTTTTTTTTCAAGAATCTTTAAGTGCTTAGTGAAAAATTTACGTGAGAAGTTGCTTCCATAATGAAGAAATTATTACATCTTTCAGTGGGGAAAATCATTGCATCTGTTGCAATTATGTGTGGTGTATTGGTGCTAGCTTTACCGATTACTATCATTGTGGATAATTTTATAAAAGTTGCGCAAGATGAGCAGCAAGCAGAACAACAAAAATTGGAGCACTTGAAACACGAGGGAACAATACAATCAATGCTCAATAAAGAAGCTGACAATGAAGATTACAATGCTATCAGTGATTAACTTCCTAACATAAGTGATAATCAAATCTGAATTTTCAATTCAGCAAAATTAAAAATAGAAATAATTTCCTCCCGCCTAGTTACATTATATTCACTTTATTCTTTCGTTATTCGCAGGCTAATTTTTTACAATATCTTATATTATTAGAATGTGCAATTGTTATTAGTTGCAGTAATCATCTGGGTGCCCTTAAAAATGCTATTTACCAAATAAAGCATTGATAGACCAACTGATTTGACAGAAATACTACATCTAACCATAGTTTAGCATTCTGAGTCTTCTATTAATCGAAAGAACTTTCATCTTACAATTGCTTACTCAAATCACCTCTAGCAATTGCTTTGAATACACGGGAAGAAAAAAACTGAGCAAAAGAAGCTTTTCCAGCTTACATACTTGCAATACTTCTATATTCAAAGGAATGATGTGTAATATTTCAAAAATATTTCAATTTATAGAACTCAAATCGCATTAAATAAATGCTTATTTAATCTCATTTTTGCCAATATGTATTAATTATTTCTGTCCAAAAAAGCTATTTTTGAAAAAAAAATTAGAAAAATGAAATAATTTATTGGTGTAATTTAGAATGAATAATTCTTTCCGATGATAAGTAATCTTTTAGATCTACAAAAAATACCATCAGCTGATTTCAGTACAGAACTAATAAGCGTTCATAAATTTTCGAAATATCTGCATTCTATTTACAAGTTTCATAAACATACTAGGAAGCACCATCCGCTTAAACGTGGCACTACTTATAGATCATTTAAAGTAATTAAAGCATCTCTGAAATTGAACAAAATGTTTTGTTTTATGAAGAGTGCTCTTATTACCACGAATCAAAATTTCTCTACGATTTTGAATACATTATACTTTTATTTGGATTTGTTATTGTTTAAAAAATTACATCAGTTATTTAAAATTTACTGAAGATACTGGTGATGGAGTGGAGTAGCCAGTTTTCAAAGAAGAAAAATTCCATTGTGATTCAAAAGCCACACTTATTTTTTAAATCATAAAGCTCTGATAACTATCAAAGGAAGCTTCATGTATTTCAACACTAATCCAGAAATTTTCATTCAGGACACTTTAAATTATAAACGAATATAGCGTAGACGAAAAAAGTCGTAATTACTTACTTTAGCGTTCGGTATCGCTGAAGCAAGTAATTACGACTTTTTTTTTCAAA